TGGGTATTCTCAGTATACTTGGAGAGGGTCATAAGTTCAGTTTTGGAATGACTGGGGAGGGTCAAACGTTTTTTTGGAAAAATTACTCTGAATTCTCCAGCCCCCCCCCCCCCCCCCCCCCCCCCCCCGATAATAAACGTACCTTCCCTAACCGCTTATTTATTTGACAACAGACTCTCTTGCGCAAAAGACTTGCCAGAAACAAAAGAAAGCACGAGAAAATGTCGCTATTTCAATAGTCTTGTACATTTATATTTTATATAGATTCGAGCCGCAGGCGAGTATACCCGATAAAACACGCACTCTCATATCATAAAAGATAACTTTCAAGAAATCCTAAAAGATATTACTTTCCATTGACTTTGTTTTGTAAAAGGGTTGCTTATAATTTTAATCATTTAATCATTTTAATCTCTGTAAGGTACTACCTTTGCACAAAAGAATCTGTTGTCATATGAAACCGCGGTTATCTGCTTTATTTGTCAGTCATTGACTGTCTTTCAAGATTGATAAAACTATTATTTTGCACGATTTGTTTTAAACTTTGGCTGAACGACATGCTTCTTTCTTAAAACATAATTATTATTGCTTTGTTCAGGTTTGAGATAGTGTAGATTGTGATTATTTTCAGCGACAGTTTCTTTGAATAAGTTTTCTGTCAGTTGCTGACGTCTAAATTTGGTAGCCCTGACTATGCTAGTGCTTGTGGGTAAGGAATTCCAGGATAAATTATACGCTAGGTGCGTTTTTGTAGTCTTTCAATCTTTGAAGGTCTTCACATAGGTATATATTGGAAGCGGCATTGTGAAAAACCTGGCATGCATATTCAGTCGCTGGGCGAATGCAAGTAATGTAAAATAGTAGTAGGTCTTTCCAATCCAATTTAGATCGTTTTACGTGTTTATTCTATCTCGCTCATTCCCTGATGATGCTGTAGACAGCGAAAGCTCGGAATCATATTTTTGTTGTAAACTCGATCTACACACTTAGCGGCTTCGGCTACATTTTGTATTTTCCACATCAGATCGTTTTAGTTGTCCATGAGTTGTCGTAGGAAGTATGATAAATCAGACAACTTCTCCACCATGAAGAACTTTAATTTCAGTTCTAGCGCACTTGCTCGCTCTGACTCAGCATTCGCTTCCGAAAAGTATGAATTCGAGGAACAATACTCCATTTTACAGTTCCAGGCACCATCCTGTGAATAATTGTCTTTGTGAACAAAAGGTATCTATCACTGCAGGCTCAACTCCTGTCTTGCTTTGAAGCAATGCTTGGCTACCTTTAAGGTGTCGCTTAGGAAATGTAGAATGAAGGATCGACCACTACCGTCAGAACGAAGCTTGTGATTGATCGAGACAGAAAAAAAGGAATAGTGTAGGATAATGTCAGTCAATGCCTCTTATTCTACTGGACATCATTTGTATTGCATGTTTCTCTTTGTTATTTCATCAAATCACAATCTTTGTTCTAACAGTTGCGTACAACTCAATGGAAAATTCAGCGATCGTCTCAATTGTAAAATTAAAGTGCTAGTCTTACCAATATAACACGCCTCAAAAACAGGTTTTATGTATTCCATATCATTGAAATAACCGTAAATACTAAAAATTAACAAAGTTTGATCCATAAAAGCTCTGTTTCCATTTGAGTTTTGATTCTAAAAGACACTCAACAATCCCGTCCGCCATTAAATATGAATAAGCGATTTTTGAATCAGCGGTTGCACGCTATGACGTCAGAGGCGCACGTCGAGCAGAGACAACAAGAGAAACGATATGACTCAAAGTGATCTTTCTACATTCAACTCTATAAAACACTGCGAAAAAGACTCTGACTGTTCATATTCTTGTTGAAAATTACCGCAAACTCGTGTTGAATTTGGCGCGAGTGAGCGTCTGACGTCACTTCCTATGAACATGTAATGAGTTGGACGGCACGCTCTCAAATAATGTCGGATCAGAAAACGCGAAATTCATCGGTTCAAAAAGATATCTTTCCGTTGACGTATAGACAAAAAATGGCCAGAATACTATTTGGTATTTATATTTTATTCTGTATAAATTTCAAGAATTTTAGTTTTTTGATAAGACTAGCACTTTAAGGATGAATGTAGCACATACCCCCTGGGAAGTCTTCACAATTTCGTTTCTGTTTGAAGTAAGTCCTCCCTGAAAACTAGCCGGAATAGTGACTAAAATTCTGGATAAGCAGAATTTATCAGTACATATCATTCTATATTCGTCAGCAAAACAACAATTAACTCACTCTGTTTTCAATTCCTAAGGAGCAAACACCAACAAGACACTTAAAAAGAAATCGACTGCTGAAAATGACGGCTTAAATGACGGATTTCATGCCTGCTGCTCGCCAGATTGTGATTGGCTTTTGGATTATTTGGAACTTGATAAAACTGTAGTAGTATGTTGTTATGGTGAGGGCGAGGACCAATGGTGTGAGAAAACAGATAAGCGCTGAAGCAGAATGGAAACCCGCGGTAAAAGTGCACGTGACACCTTTTAGATAATCACTTTTATCCGAAAGGTATAAACACACTATCAAGCACTTTTGTAAAGAAAGAAATAGAATCTTATTTTCTGAGTTATGTAGACATTTGAAAATTGAAACATGCAAATGAAATGACGTCAACTAAGGAATTGGTCCAGACTTTTTACATTGTTTGTGTTAAGTTGTTCCTGCTGGAAGAGCTCAAAGCATCAATCATAGTAATAATTGAGAGCTGAAAATGCTTTTTCCAATGTAACAAAAAGAATAACGTTCTCTTTCATGATTTTGTATATGAAATCTTTCCTTAGTAGACGTCAGTTGAAATTGCCCATAACTTAGAAAATACAATTTAAAATCAATTTCTTTCTTCACAGATGTACTAAGCAGCATTTTCTCCTTTGGATGAGAATGAATGTCTAATTGCGTCATGTGCACTTTTTTTAAAAATAGCATATTCATGGACCAACGATTAGTGTTATCGTAACAGGACTGTTAATCTAGGGTCAATTAAAATTGTCGAAATCAAAATGGCTGACTGGTCGTTTGTTTCTCAATTCCTGTTAGCGCAAAGACACCATTTTCTTGTACGTGCCACAATCTACTTCATAGGCATGCTAAATTTCTGTCAATGGAATGAGTTGTGTGCGACAGTAGCATCGCGGTGCAAATGTTCGCGGATTTAAACGTCAATCTATCCTCACGCGAAAATTAAGTGTAGAAATATATATATTTTTTAACAATAGGGCATGATTGGATGTTATTGCACAAATTTAAAAAAACGTTATTAGGCTATCGACTCTATTTTGATCGACGTATGAAGCGATGTCACACACAGACTGCTTGGTTCGGCACGACACGCGATAGTACCATATGACATACGGACCGGTCAAGATTGATTTTATTAGACTTACATTGATTGCTTGTCCTTTGTTCTTCGCGCAGCTATAGGTAAGGCACCCCTATAAGTCAGGCACCCACCCCTATATGTCAGGCACCCACCCCTATAAGTCAGGTACCCACCCCTATATATCAGGCACCCACCCCTATATGTCAGGCACCCACCCCTATAAGTCAGGCGCCACCACAAGCCGCAACGATTGCTTGAGAGAAAGAAAAGAACGAGCTACGCATGCTTTTATTTATCGACGTGCGCTCTTATTGACAACAAAGCAGTTTTCATAAGGTTTTTTCAAAATTGCTGTTATAATCAATATAGAAAACGTGAAAAATATACACCACAGTTTAAGTTGAAGTCTCGAAGTGGTTTTTGGTATATCACATTGATTCGAAAAATTCTAAACATTTCTTTTCACATTTTTTGACATACATGTGCAAATATTTGCAATTTTAAACTGTCATCCTGCAAGTAGCTTCGAGCTGAGGCAGGGTAAAATGGGTAAAATGTTTAAACACATCTGAAAACAGGCGAACTTTCAAACATTTCGTATTTCGTATTTTCGTGACTGTATTAAGTGTATGAAAATAAACTGAATCTATGAAACAAGGAGCCAAAAACACCATCTTTTTAGCCAACAATTACTGAAAATATGATGATTCCTGTCATTGTACTCATATCGTGAGATATTTGAGAAAAGTGGTGCCATCATATAGAGGGAGGCAACGGGTTGCAAGTTGACAAGTGAGACTTTTCCTATAATATAAAAATTAGGTAACACCTAATAGCGGAGCTCCAATAGCAATATAGAAGCTGAAAATGATTATCTAGTACTTCTATTTCAAAGGTAGATGCTCTGTTCTAAGGAATGTGAGCTACAACAGTTTTGTTGACATGCAAACAAATATTATAAAGAGTGTGTTTATGAGAATTTAGTTAGTACTAATATTGACTTCGGTAGATGTTGTTCCGTTGGATGAAGTTTAATATCATAATCTGTAAAGGTAAATTGATTTAAAGTAAACTGAAAGCTTCTCGGCAAAAAGTAGTCTACATAAGTTTACAATAATCAACAATGTTTCAATAATCGATGTTTGAACCCGGACTACTCGAACTTCACATATCACAGAAATGAGAAAACTGTATACAAATTTTTTTTTTACCTTCATTACCGAACTTCCGATAAATTATCGTTCAAAGGTCATCTTCAAAGGTCAACAGAGCCATACTTGTTTCAAGCATAGGTTTCAAGACTAGCATGGCATGGTATTGGTTTCCAAATGTCCACACTTTTAGTCGACAAAAGAACTTCGCACAGATCCTGCTTTTTTCCCATATTGGTCCATATTATTGAAGTATTTCCAATAAAGTATCATCTCTTTCTTGTTGTCGAAATATCAAAGTAAAATCCTTTTTTCTAATATCACTTTTAAGATGGGCCTAAATTGCTTTTCATCTTCGTAAATCGATTTCCCGGATGTGCGGACGCGTCGAAGTTATGACAAAATTGGCGGGAATATTTCTGTGCTGTTATTTCGCTCTTCAGTGGATTTTTTCCTTGTGATTGTGCTAATGAACTGTTACCGCCTTCGTTAACCAGGTGAAGAGATTTTTGTAAAGCAAGCAATTTGCATCTGTCACAAATATCAACATTCGATGGATCGAAGATGGTGGTATTTGGCTGAGAGAGTGTACCAGAGTAGACATCTAACTGACTTTTTCCGCCATTAAAGGGGTGGATAATGAGGAATTCTTGAATAAAAATGACAATGGCTTTGAAGGGATCTCTTTAGTTGTATATTACCACAGGTAGTATCGTTTTTGATTGCGCACTAGAGTTCAGCGGTGATTTGGGGAAAATCCCCTCGGTTTAAGATCTTGCATGACGTGGCCGTTAGTTTCGATGAAGATGTTTTCGGAAGGCCAGTGTCTTTGCCAAATTCTTTGTCCATTGCCACCTCGTATTCTTTTAATCCTGCCATGCATGGTGTCTGCCTCTTCAAAACTGTACAAACCCGACCGCTCCCCGCCTTTTAACACATGACTGACCGTCGTGCTTTGCAAGAAACATGATACCTGACTCCCAGATTGGTAGTGTTCCTTCAGTCAATCTCGAAACAGCTTTTCACCTTCCGTTTACACACACACACGCAAAAAAAAAAAAAAAACGGAACTGAAATTCATACTCTCGGAACGGTAGTGACCTGATCTACCCAGTAAAGATCGTATCAAAGAATCCCCTATTGTTCGGTGTCCATTTCGAGGTGTTAAACATCGAACAATGATCTTTTGTTTTAAGTGATCAAAGTGGTTTTGAATAATAAATCAGGTGCGTAGTTTCGGAAAAACGAGTCTAAGACGACGGACTAGAACCGTCGTTCGGAAGTTTTTTTAGTTCCCTGCGGTGAACTATATAGATTCGAGATAAAATCTTCAGACACTCGCAAAGACATATACATTCAAAATACATCCTTAAGATTAATCTCCAATGCACTTAAATTTCTTTTTTATAGGCGGATCTTTGTTTACAAAATTTTGCTAATTCGCATAAAGTAGATATTCCAAAAAAAAAAAAAAAAAAAAAAAAAAAAAAAAAAAAATACTGTAAAAAAGCTCATAAAGTAAAACTGAGATTTCATTAACACTACTTTAAACTAAGGATGTCTAATGTCTATACATACAATAGTTTATGAGATATTAGCGTTTAAAGATGCTGAGTGGCAAAAGCGCTAATTAGCTCATATAATCTCTCTAAAAATTTGGAGTTTTTAAAACCGTTTGACGCAAAAAGTATTTCATATGGGAAGCTCATAATTGCGAGGAAAACTTATTTTGCCATGTTGTTTAAATATTCAGTGCTGATTTACTGGTAGCTAGGTTAAACAACAACTTTGATAAGATATTATAACATTTCTAGGAATTTTGGCAAAAAATGTTCATTTACTCCATCCTTTTGTTCTTGCTTCTTTTGAAAAAACTTTTCTCTGCTTCAGGACGAACCGATAACAAACTATTGTCTGATAAGTTTTGAATAAGTCTAAATTAGTCATACTTCCAACATGAACTTTTTCTGCTTTTCTTGCAAGTAGAATTGAATAAACAACATCTCTAGCGTGACTACGAGGTTTTGAAAAGTGTTTCAGCACTTGACAAGCAAAATCACAGCAAGTTTTATTGTTTGATTTTTCCGTCAATTCATTGACTTGAAATTCGTAAATTGATGTCTCTCAATACATTTTGGAATTCAGTTTTTAAAAATGTTTTCGCCTAATGGAACGCTTCAATCCTATTCGTTTTTGGAATATTTCGTTACCTCAGATAGACAAGCGACACCCGGCAATAACCATGAAGAGAGACACGCTCCAGACAAAAATTATATGAGAATTTTAAAAACAAAGCACTTAAATCATATTACATATTCATAAATAGAGCCCCCTTCCTTGGTACCCGGGGGAAGAGGGGGTAAAAGTACCGGGGATGTTCGTCGGATCTCTTAGCGGTAAAAGTTCGTGATTGGGAATCTTTTAGGGTGCCAATTTGGAGCTTCTAGGAAATTTGCATTTTCTGCAATCTCTTAGGGTGTTGGAAAAGAAGAAAAAGAGCACATCGATGTTGTTTTTCCTCTGCGTTTTTATGATTTAATTTAACAATACTTGTTGTGCAATCTATAAGGGGTTAAAAATCAGTCAGCCAGACTTCCGGGATCTTTTAGGTGTCTTTTTGAAAATTTCGAACGAGCATCAAGGTACTTTTACCCCGGACTGTTCCCCGCACCCCCGGGCCTTGATAAGCAGCTCTTTATGTCGTTCAATAAAGAATTTAAGTAAACAAGAACACTTCGTCGCCCTATTGAGAAATGAAAACACTCGACCTTCACCTGTCAAGCTTTGTTGGTATCTATGACACAAATGGCTGTTTTAAATTCTTACGAGCTTTTCAATGTCATAAATGATTCATCGTTTAATATTACACTTTATCTCGTGTTTGAATCATTTTTAAAAATCTTATTTTGAAAGTGGTTCGTCAATATGGGGAATATTTCGAGGAAAATTAGTTGTCAGTATTAAACGAGAATATATGATGTATCAGCTTTGTTCTGTTAATAAGCCATTCGTTTAACTCAATTTTTTTAACTTAATAGGTCTATGTGTCTTCTTGGAATTCTGAAAATTGACAATTAATACTATTATCATATAATGTTGTTTATAAAGGTGAGAAGTCAACACACTGAACAATAACAACA